GATGTGGGGAGAGGGAGAGAGGGTGAGAGAGGAGATGGGCGCAGGAAAGGAAATAGAAACCTTGTCAAAGATAATGCCAAAGATAATGCCAAAGATAATCATGTCAACACAGTACCCTTCACTCTCTGCCCCTCCTCTTTCCCCCCCCCTTCCCCTGCCTTTTCTCTGTGTCTGCACGCAGAGGGGTACGTGACAGGCAACCCATCAAAGCCCCCCCAATACCTCTGCTGTCAGTGGACGCACGTCCTTCTCAGCGCGGTACACGAGACAGGGCGGGTCCAGCAGGCGGCCCTTCACTTACCCCACCCCACCCCACCCATACCCCCACCCACCCCCCATAACGCCCCCCCCCTGAGCCCACGCACGTCCTTCTTATCCTTGTACACGAGGCGAGGCGGCTCCAGCAGGCGGCCCTGCACTCACCCCACCCACCCACCCACCCCACCCATGCCCCCACCCACCCCACCCATGCCCCCACCCACCCCACCCATGCCCCCACCCACCCCCCATACGTCCCCCCCCTCAGCCCACGCACGTCCTTCTTATCCTTGTACACGAGGCGGGGCGGCTCCAGCAGGCGGCCCTGCAGGCGCGTAACTCACGCGCGTACGGGTCGCTGCATGGTGGCAGGGGGGAGAAGGGGGAGATGGGTGGGGAGCACGAAGCAGGAAAGGGGAGGGAGTGAGTGACAAGTTAGCCCTGCAGGCGCGTCATTTCGGATGCACCAGCATGCCGAACTCACGCGCGTACGGGTCGCTGCATGGGGAGGTGGGGGGAGTTGGGGGGAGCGGGAGGAGAGCGGGGGAAGGGGTAGGTGGCGGAGCACGAAGCAGAGAGTGGCCAAGGCGGGAGGGGGAGAGAGAGTGGCCAAGGCGGGAGGGGGAGAGGAGTGGCCAAGGCGGCCCTGCAGGCGCGTCATCTCGGGGTGCACCAGCATGCCAAACTCCCGGGCATAGGGGTTGCTGCATGGGGGGGAGGGCGGGGAGTAGGGGGCGGGGAGGGTGGGGAAACACGACGCAGCGAGGGGAGGGAGGGTGACAAAGGCGCGTCATCTCCGGGATGCACCAGCATGCCAAACTCACAGGAGAGGGGGGGGGGGGGGGGGGGGGGGAAGGGGGCGAGGAGGGAAGCGACGAGAGAGGGAGAGCCTGTAGGAAAATTGGGGGGAGATGAGGATTGTGACCATGCCCAACTGGCATGCACCGATGGGTGGTGGGCGGGGCAGAGGGGGGGAGAGAGTGGGAGCGACGGAGAGAGGCGGGGCACGCAAGGGAAAGAGAAGCGAGGGAAGGACTGGGATGACGGCGAGACAGCAAGGCAGCGAGACAACGCTTAGCATGAGCATGGCGAGATGCAGGGCACCGCTGGGTAGGTGGGTGGGTGGCATTATCAAGCGCAGTATCTCGAATCACCCACAGCACAGCACTCACTTGGGGTAGTCATTGCGAGTCACCATGCTGCCGATCTCCCAAGTAGCAGCAGCAGGGTGCTGACCTGCTCCTCGTTCAGCTTCAGCAGGAGGTGTGCCGGCATCAAGAGCAGCAACTGCTAAGCAACACAGCACACTCACTTGGGGTAGTCATTGCGAGTCACCATGCTGCCGATCTCCCAAGTAGCAGCAGCAGGGTGCTGACCTGCTCCTCGTTCAGCTTCAGCAGGAGGTGTGCCGGCATCAAGAGCAGCAACTGCTAAGCAACACAGCACACTCACTTGGGGTAGTCATTGCGGGTCACCATGCTGCCAATCTCCCCCGCCCTCACGTCAGGCCGCGTGCACGTGAAGCGCAGCAGGGAGCTGACCTGCACCTCGTTCAGCTCCTCCCATGACCCTCCAGTTGCACACTCACTTCCTCACCTGCTCCTCGTCCAGTTTCAGAAGGTGGTGTGCCGGCATAAAGAGCAGAAACTGCTATGCAACACAGCATACTCACTTGGGGTAGTCATTGCGGGTCACCATGCTGCCAATCTCCCCCGCCCTCACGTCCGCCGAGTGCGTGAAGCCGCAGCCGGCTGACCTGCTGTTCAGCTCAGTGGCAGCACCCACGCTCGCACCTCTCCTCGTTCAGCATACACGTTGCGGCACCCCCACCCAGCTCGCTCACCCGCCACACGTACTCACTTGGGGTAGTCGTTGCGAGTCACATGCTCCCAATCTCCCCCGCCCTCACGTCCGGGCGAGTGCACGTGAAGCGCAGCAGCGAGCTGACCTGCTCCTCGTTCAGCTTCGGGCCGTACCGCTGCCCGCCGATGATGTGGCACACCTCCATTGGCAGGAAGCTCTTGCCGCCGCCGCCCCCGCCATCACGCACGGCAGGTTGGGGTGGCGGATGGTGTAGCCGTAGGCGGAGCGGAAGTAGGCCACCAGGGAGGTCTCGCCCTCTCCTTCTATGGTGAAGGTGAGGGCATGTGCTGGCTCACGTGTGAGGCCTTGAATGCGGTAGCTGCACAGGGGAGAGGGGCGGGGAGGGAGGCAGGGGTGGAGTAGTAACGGGGTGGAAAAGGGGAGTCACGGGGCGGTAATGAGATACATGGGGCGCTGAGAGTGTCCGAGGCCGGGCAGGGCAGGTTGGGGTGGCGGATGGTGTAGCCGTAGGCGGAGCGGAAGTAGGCCACCAGGGACGTCTCGCCCTCTCCTTCGATGGTGAAGGTTAGCGCGTGTGCCGGCTCGCGTGTCAGGCCCTGGATGCGGTAGCTGCATGGGGGGAGGGGCGGAGCAGCGGAGGGACGGAGTGACAGGAATGAGATACACGGGTAGCAAAAGTACATAAGACCGTTGGGGAGGGGGAAGGGGGGAGGATGATGGAAAGGCAAGTGCAGAGGGAGAGGGAGCGGGACTGGGAGAGAAGATACTTTCCACCTGCGGTGAGGAAGGGGGCGGAGGTAGGAGAGGCACGGACGGCGGGGCGTGTCGCGGTGAGTCACCCCCACTTTGATCCCGTGCAGCGCACGCTTCAGCACAGCACGTCACGTCACGGCACCAACACACACACTCACCGGCGGGGCGTGTCGCGGTGGGTCACCCCCACTTTATACCATGCAGGGCGCGCTTCAGCTTCACTCTCTCCCCATCACTCAGCGACGCATTCGGTGCAAACCGCCGCCCCCTCCCCCTCCCCCTCCCGGCCCCCGGCCACCCCTCCCCCCGAACCCACCCCTCCCTCCGCCCCTCCCGCCGCCTCCCCCGCCCCCCCGCGGCCGAGAAAGTCGGCGGCAAAGGTGAGGAGCGGCATGTCGAGGTGGAAAGCGGTGGCAGCCATGTCCACGTTGAGAGCCAGGCCCTGCTGGGAGAAGCGCACTGACTGGAAGAAGCCGCGGTAGGCTGTTACTCCGCCGCCCAGCGCTGTGCTGCCGAGAGAGGCGGAGTAGAGGGAGCGACCCACGGGAGTGAGGCTGGTGAGGAGGCGCTCCCTCAGGGCCACGTCCAGTGCCTGGGGAACGAGGGAAGGGAGGGGGGAAGGGGAAGAGGGGATGTGGAGAAAGGGGCAAGGTGGGCTCAAGAGGAAGGCCCGCCAAAGCAAGGGCCAGCAACGCAGCCAGGCCCTGCTGTGAGAAGCGCACTGACTGGAAGAAGCCGCGGTAGGCCGCCACCCCCCCCGCCGCCCAGCGCGGAGGAGCCCAGCGAGGCGGAGTAGAGCGAGCGGCCCACCGGGTGAGGCTGGTGAGCAGACGCTCCCTCAATGCCACGTCCAGTGCCTGGAGGGAGAGGGACAAGGGAGACAGGGGAGACAGGGCAGGGTGGGCCAGCAACGCAGGTGAGCTGAGCGCGGAGGAGCCGAGGGAAGCGGAGTAGAGCGAGCGACCCACGGGAGTGGGGCTGGTGAGCAGACGCTCCTCAGTGCCACGTCGAGTGCCTGGGGGTGGGTGGGTTGGAGGGGGAGAGGAGGAAGGGAGGGAGGTGATGGATGGAGAGAAAGAGGCAAGGTCGGCCTAGAGGTGATGGGGACAGGGACGGGGACAAGGGGGGGAAGAATTCAAACCTCAACACCCACCTGCAGCAGCACTTGCGGAATGTCAGCCTGGCGGCCCTGCAGAAACGAGGTCATAGACGACATGGGGTATTGCTGGGCCAGCTTCACCGTCACCTTCACCGCCCGCTCCCTCCGCTCCCCCCCTCCGCGCCCGCCCCTCCTGCCCCCGCGCCCAGCACCACTGCTACTATACCTCCCCTTCCCCCGCCTCCGCCGCCGCCGCCTCTCCCCGCCCCTGCCCCTTCGTCTTTCTCGGGCAGCACAACGCGGAACTCCTGGCTGTCAAACGGCAGCGGGCGGGCAGTGAAAATGTTCTTCATGCCGTCGAAGACAGGGCGCACGGGGGCGCTGGGGGCGCCGCCAGGCGGGACGAGCTGCGCGCTGTAGGTCTCCGCCAGCTGGCGGACGGCCGCCCGCATGACGCCCTTGGAGGCGAGCGCGGGGGAGAAGTCCACGTCGTAATGGTAGATGACCGGTCCTGGGGGGGGAGGAAGAAGGGCGAAGAGAAAGGGGAAGGGCGTGAGGGGAAGGAAAGGAGGGAGAGGAAGGAAGAGAATGGGAGGAAGGGGCGTGTGGAGCAGCGGTTTCGAAGTGCGCATGACGCCTTTGGAGACGAGCGCGGGGGAGAAGTCGACATCGTAGTGGTAGATCACCAGGTCCTGGGGGGGGAAAGGGAGGGAGGGGAGGGAGAGGAGGGAGAAGGGGCGTGTGAAGCAGCAGGTTCAGGTTCCCGGGTGCATCTAATGACGCCCTTGGAGGCGAGTGCGGGGGAGGGAGAAGTCCACGTTGTAGTGGTGGATTACCAGGTCCTGGAAGGGAGAGGTTGGACCCGCAACGAGCGTTTGGCAGTAAACAACGTTTCAGAATGAAGTCGGAAGGGGCGTGCGGCCATATGGGCAGAATCAGGGCGGGAATTCGAGCAAAGGATGCGAGGGTAGGGAAAGAGAGGAGAGCAAGACGGGACGAGACGCATGCAGGGGAGGATGCGAGGTGGCCGCGGAGAACGATGGTCAAGCGCAACTCGCACCCATTCATTATCCCCATTACCTACACGCTCTCCCACTCGCCGCCCCTCCCCCCTCGCCCCCCTTCTTCCCCCCGCCCCCGCCCCTGAGCAAGCGCACCTGAAGTCGATTTTGAAGTGGTTCGCCAGCAGCATCACGGGCCGCCCCGCCTTGCCGAACCCCGGCCGCGCCGCCGCCACCAGCGCCCTGCTCGACACGCCCGCCGGCCCCGCCATCGTCACCGCCACGCCCGCCGCCGCCGCACCTGCTACGGGCGCGGGCGCAACCGGTACGGGGGCAGCGGGCATAGGGGCGGGAGTAGGGGCAGCGGGTGCGGGGGTAGGAGCGGGGCCACGCGCGGATGCGGGGGCGGGGGCACGCGCGGGTGCGAGGGCGGGGAAATCCGCGGGTGGCGCGGACACACCCATCTGAGCCATGCCTGCGGTGATGCCCCCAACCCCCCCCGCTCCTTGCGCCTGCTCTCCGCGTCCTCCCCGCCCGCGCCCCCCCGCGCCCACGCCCTCCGCCTGCGCCAGGGGCTCCTACTCCTCCGGGTGCTCCTGCGGGAACGGGCGCGCCCCTTCCACCTGGCGGCGCGCCCCTTCCCCCGCGACCTCCTGCTCCCGCGGGAGCAGGCGCGCCTCTGCCCCCCGCGGGCGGCTGCGACGGTGCTGCTGACGCCGGTGGTGCTGCGCTGCACGCAGGGAAGCGAGATGGAAGGGGGAAAGAGACCGGCGGGACCCACAATGACGTGTATATTAGTATTTGATTTGTAATTTATATAAAAACGGACAAGACAAAGCGTGCCATGACAACGACGGCGCTGCGAAGGGAGGCGAGTGCGAAGGGATAATGGCATGCATCTTAGTATTTCATGCGCGGTTCTTACACAAGTGCGCAAGACACAGCGTGTCATGACAACGACGGCGACAGAGCGTTTCTCTAAACGACAAGTGAAATCCGAGAAAAGATAGCGAGCTGAAATAGGCGACGAAGGAGTAAAATGAAAGCGATGCGAACGAGCAATTACCTCGGCGCGCCAGCTTGCCCTTCCCCGCGACCTCCACCTGCGCCTGCGCCTCCGCCTGCACCTCCACCTCGCTTGCCCTTCTTAGGCCCCATGAACGCTGAGTAAAAGACTGCTTTAACGATTCGTAGATTAGAAAATCCTGCTCTGCTTCTGCAAAAAACGAGGAAATGAGGGTGAAAATGGCAAGTGCTGCTGGACTAGCACACCTCCGCTGCCTCCTGGCAAGGACGGTTGCCAGGACGGGATGTTTGTGTCAGGCAGGTCACCCAACACCAAGAATCCCTTCGCCGCACGCACAAACATCGCATGTGCGTCAGGGAACCACATTGGCAGACATTGGCGCTGTTCTGCAGGCGTTAAAACCCGAAGCCTGAATTACAAAATATGAGTCAACGCTTGGTTTGGTAGTTCTGAGGTTCGGGCAATATGAGGTGCGGAGAAATTGCGAAAGGTGGCAGTTTAGCGAAACCTGATGCGACTCTCCTGTGAGGCAAACAGTTCGCAGGCAACCCGCATACCAACCTCCCGAGAGCTGGATCAGAGTAAGAAAACTCGTCCGACAGAACAAGCTAAAATACTCATTCACTCACGTTAGAATCCGACCATCGCACACCAGCTAGGTTTTAGAGTGAGCACTTTTTCAGACAACCGGAATTAGTAGGTGCAGCTTGTATACGCAATCGAAGCACGTAGAAAATGGGCGTGAGGAGATGAGAAATTAGCGCTTTGCCTACCTCACGACCCTCGCCCATGCTTTCTCCGCCCACCGCCCTCGCCCCGCCCGTCGCCCTCGCCGCCTCGCCGCCCGTCGACCTCGGTTCCCTCGCCCATCGCTCTCGCTTCCCCCGCCCGTCGCTCTCGCTTTCCCCGCCTACACCCTCGCCTCGCCTGTCGGCCTCGCCGCTTCCCCGCCCGTCGCCCTCGCTTCCGCCCGTCGCCCTCCCTTCCGCCCGTCACCCTCCCTTCCGCCCGTCGCCCTCCCTTCCGCCCGCCGCCCTTCCTTCCCCTCGTCGCGCGCTCCCTTCCGCCCGTCGCCCTCCCTTCGTCTCGTAGCCCTCCCTTCCTCCCGTTGCCTTCCCTTCCGCCCGCCGCCCTTCCTTTCCCTCGTCGCGTTCCTTTCCGCCCGTTGCCCCCCTTCGTCTCGTCGCCCTCCTTCCCGCTCGTCCCCTCGCAATCTCCGTCTCTCTCTTCTCCCGTCGCCCTCGCTTTCCCCGTCGCCCTCCCATCCACTCCTCGTTGTCCTCGCCATCCCTCCCTTCCTCTCCCTCGCACACTTCTGGTCCCTCTTCTGTCACCGCCCCTTTTCCCAATCCTTCCCCTTCCTTCTTCCCCTTCCCCTTCCTCCCCCCTCCCTTTTTCCTTGCTTCCCCTCCTTCCTTTTTTCCCCCCGTCCCTTTCCGTGCTTCCCCTTCCCTTCCTTGCCTGCTTCCCCTCCCCTTCCCCTCCTCCTGCTTCCCCCCTTCTGCTTCCCCCATCCCCTTCCGTCCTTCCCCCTCCCTTCCGTGCTTCCCCCATCCCCTTCCCGTGCTTCCCCTCCTTCCGGCTTCCCCCCCTCCCCTTCCTGCTTCTTCCCATCCCCTCCTTCCTTCCCCCATCCCCTTCTTGCCCTTCCCCCATCCCCTTCCGTGCTTCCCCCATCCCCTCCCTTCCCCCATCCCTTCCCCCTTCCCCTTCCCCTGCTTCCCCCTCTCCCTTTCCCTTGTGCTTTCCCCTCCCCTTCCGTGCTTCCCCCATCCGCTTCCGTGCTTCCCCCCCCTTCCGTGCTCTTCATCCCCTTCCTCCCCTTCCGTTCTTCTTCCCCCATCCATCTTCCGTGCTTCCCCCATCCCCTTTTGTGCTTCCCCCATCCCCTTCCGTGCTCCCTGCATCCCCCCCCCTTTTCCCCTTCCCCCATCCCCTTCCGTGCTTCCCCCTCCCCTTCCCTCTTGTGCTTCCCCATCTCCCTCCCCTGCTTCTTCCTCCCCCTCCGTTCCCTTCCCCCCTTCCCTTCCGTGCTTCCCCCCCCCCCTTCCGTGCTTCCCCCATCCCTTCCGTGCTTCCCCCATCCCCTTCCCCCTTCCCCTCTTCCCCCATCCCCTTCCTGCTTCCCCTTCCCTTCCGTTTTCCGCCCCTTCCGTGCTTCCCCCTCCCTCTTTTCCCATTTCCCCCTTCCCCTTATTCCCTGCCTCCCCCTCTGCTTCCCCCTTCCCCTTCCCCTTCGTGCTTCCCTTTCCCCTTCCCGTGCTTCCCCCATCCCCTTACCTTCCCATCCCTTCCTCCCCATCCCTTCCCTTCCCCCATCCCTTTCCGTGCTTCCCATCTCCCCTTCCCGGCCCCTTTCCCCCCATCCCCCTTCCGTGCTTCCCCCATCCCCTTCCGTGCTTCCCCCATCCCCTTCCGTGCTTCCCCCATCCCCTTCCGTGCTTCCCCATCCCCTTCCGTGCTTCCCCTCCCTTCCGTGCTTCCCCCATCCCCTTCCGTGCTTCCCCCATCCCCTTCCGTGCTTCCCCCATCCCCTTCCGTGCTTCCCCATCCCCTTCCGTGCTTCCCCCATCCCCTTCCGTGCTTCCCCCATCCCCTTCCGTGCTTCCCCCATCCCCTTCCGTGCTTCCCCCATCCCCTTCCGTGCTTCCCCCATCCCCTTCCGTGCTTCCCCCATCCCCTTCCGTGCTTCCCCCATCCCCTTCCGTGCTTCCCCCATCCCCTTCCGTGCTTCCCCATCCCCTTCCGTGCTTCCCCCATCCCCTTTCCGTGCTTCCCCCATCCCCTTCCGTGCTTCCCCCATCCCCTTCCGTGCTTCCCCCATCCCCTTCCGTGCTTCCCCCATCCCCTTCCGTGCTTCCCCCATCCCCTTCCGTGCTTCCCCCATCCCCTTCCGTGCTTCCCCCATCCCCTTCCGTGCTTCCCCCATCCCTTCCGTGCTTCCCCCATCCCCTTCCGTGCTTCCCCCATCCCCTTCCGTGCTTCCCCCATCCCCTTCCGTGCTTCCCCCATCCCCTTCCGTGCTTCCCCCATCCCCTTCCGTGCTTCCCCCATCCCCTCCGTGCTTCCCCCATCCCCTTCCGTGCTTCCCCCATCCCCTTCCGTGCTTCCCCCATCCCCTTCCGTGCTTCCCCCATCCCCTTCCGTGCTTCCCCCATCCCCTTCCGTGCTTCCCCCATCCTTCCGTGCTTCCCCCATCCCCTTCCGTGCTTCCCCCATCCCTTTCCGTGCTTCCCCCATCCCCTTCTGCTTCCCCCATCCCCTTCCGTGCTTCCCCCATCCCCTTCCGTGCTTCCCCCATCCCCTTCCGTGCTTCCCCCATCCCCTTCCGTGCTTCCCCCCCCATCCCTTCCGTGCTTCCCCCATCCCCTTCCGTGCTTCCCCCATCCCCTTCCGTGCTTCCCCCATCCCCTTCCGTGCTTCCCCCATCCCCTTCCGTGCTTCCCCCATCCCCTTCCGTGCTTCCCCCATCCCCTTCCGTGCTTCCCCCATCCCCTTCCGTGCTTCCCCCATCCCCTTCCGTGCTTCCCCCATCCCCTTCCGTGCTTCCCCCATCCCCTTCCGTGCTTCCCCCATCCCCTTCCGTGCTTCCCCCATCCCCTTCCGTGCTTCCCCCATCCCTTCCGTGCTTCCCCCATCCCCTTCCGTGCTTCCCCCATCCCCTTCCGTGCTTCCCCCATCCCCTTCCGTGCTTCCCCCATCCCCTTCCGTGCTTCCCCATCCCTTCCGTGCTTCCCCCATCCCCTTCCGTGCTTCCCCCATCCCCTTCCGTGCTTCCCCCATCCCCTTCCGTGCTTCCCCATCCCCCTTCCGTGCTTCCCCCATCCCCTTCCGTGCTTCCCCCATCCCCTTCCGTGCTTCCCCCATCCCCCTTCCGTGCTTCCCCCATCCCCTTCCGTGCTTCCCCCATCCCCTTCCGTGCTTCCCCCATCCCCTTCCGTGCTTCCCCCATCCCCTTCCGTGCTTCCCCCATCCCTTCCGTGCTTCCCCCATCCCCTTCCGTGCTTCCCCCATCCCCTTCCGTGCTTCCCATCCCCTTCCGTGCTTCCCCCATCCCCTTCCGTGCTTCCCCCATCCCCTTCCGTGCTTCCCCCATCCCCTTCCGTGCTTCCCCCATCCCCTTCCGTGCTTCCCCCATCCCCTTCCGTGCTTCCCCCATCCCCTTCCGTGCTTCCCCCATCCCCTTCCGTGCTTCCCCCATCCCCTTCCGTGCTTCCCCCATCCCCTTCCGTGCTTCCCCATCCCCTTCCGTGCTTCCCCCATCCCCTTCCGTGCTTCCCCCATCCCCTTCCGTGCTTCCCCCATCCCCTTCCGTGCTTCCCCCATCCCTTCCTCCGTGCTTCCCCCATCCCCTTCCGTGCTTCCCCATCCCCTTCCGTGCTTCCCCCATCCCCTTCCGTGCTTCCCCCATCCCCTTCCGTGCTTCCCCCATCCCCTTCCGTGCTTCCCCCATCCCCTTCCGTGCTTCCCCCATCCCCTTCCGTGCTTCCCCCATCCCCTTCCGTGCTTCCCCCATCCCCTTCCGTGCTTCCCCCATCCCCTTCCGTGCTTCCCCCATCCCCTTCCGTGCTTCCCCATCCCCTTCCGTGCTTCCCCCATCCCCTTCCGTGCTTCCCCCATCCCCTTCCGTGCTTCCCCCCATCCCCTTCCGTGCTTCCCCCATCCCCTTCCGTGCTTCCCCCATCCCCTTCCGTGCTTCCCCCATCCCCTTCCGTGCTTCCCCCATCCCCTTCCGTGCTTCCCCCATCCCCTTCCGTGCTTCCCCCATCCCCTTCCGTGCTTCCCCCATCCCCTTCCGTGCTTCCCCCATCCCCTTCCGTGCTTCCCCCATCCCCTTCCGTGCTTCCCCCATCCCCTTCCGTGCTTCCCCCATCCCCTTCCGTGCTTCCCCCATCCCCTTCCGTGCTTCCCCCATCCCCTTCCGTGCTTCCCCCATCCCCTTCCGTGCTTCCCCCATCCCCTTCCGTGCTTCCCCCATCCCCTTCCGTGCTTCCCCCATCCCCTTCCGTGCTTCCCCCATCCCCTTCCGTGCTTCCCCCATCCCCTTCCGTGCTTCCCCCATCCCCTTCCGTGCTTCCCCCATCCCTTCCGTGCTTCCCCCATCCCCTTCCGTGCTTCCCCCATCCCCTTCCGTGCTTCCCCATCCCCTTCCGTGCTTCCCCCATCCCCTTCCGTGCTTCCCCCATCCCCTTCCGTGCTTCCCCCATCCCCTTCCGTGCTTCCCCCATCCCCTTCCGTGCTTCCCCCATCCCCTTCCGTGCTTCCCCATCCCCTTCCGTGCTTCCCCCATCCCCTTCCGTGCTTCCCCCATCCCCTTCCGTGCTTCCCCCATCCCCTTCCGTGCTTCCCCCATCCCCTTCCGTGCTTCCCCCATCCCCTTCCGTGCTTCCCCCATCCCCTTCCGTGCTTCCCCCATCCCCTTCCGTGCTTCCCCCATCCCCTTCCGTGCTTCCCCCATCCCCTTCCGTGCTTCCCCATCCCCTTCCGTGCTTCCCCCATCCCCTTCCGTGCTTCCCCGCCCTTCCGTGCTTCCCCCATCCCCTTCCGTGCTTCCCCCATCCCCTTCCGTGCTTCCCCCATCCCCTTCCGTGCTTCCCCCATCCCCTTCCGTGCTTCCCCCATCCCCTTCCGTGCTTCCCCCATCCCCTTCCGTGCTTCCCCCATCCCCTTCCGTGCTTCCCCCATCCCCTTCCGTGCTTCCCCCATCCCCTTCCGTGCTTCCCCCATCCCCTTCCGTGCTTCCCCCATCCCCTTCCGTGCTTCCCCCATCCCCTTCCGTGCTTCCCCCATCCCCTTCCGTGCTTCCCCCATCCCCTTCCGTGCTTCCCCCATCCCCTTCCGTGCTTCCCCCATCCCTTCCGTGCTTCCCCCATCCCTTCCGTGCTTCCCCCATCCCTTCCGTGCTTCCCCATCCCCTTCCGTGCTTCCCCCATCCCCTTCCGTGCTTCCCCCATCCCCTTCCGTGCTTCCCCCATCCCCTTCCGTGCTTCCCCCATCCCCTTCCGTGCTTCCCCCATCCCCTTCCGTGCTTCCCCCCATCCCCTTCCGTGCTTCCCCCATCCCCTTCCGTGCTTCCCCCATCCCCTTCCGTGCTTCCCCATCCCCTTCCCGTGCTTCCCCCATCCCCTTCCGTGCTTCCCCCATCCCCTTCCGTGCTTCCCCCATCCCCTTCCGTGCTTCCCCCATCCCCTTCCGTGCTTCCCCCATCCCCTTCCGTGCTTCCCCCATCCCCTTCCGTGCTTCCCCCATCCCCTTCCGTGCTTCCCCCATCCCCTTCCGTGCTTCCCCCATCCCCTTCCGTGCTTCCCCCATCCCCTTCCGTGCTTCCCCCATCCCCTTCCGTGCTTCCCCCATCCCCTTCCGTGCTTCCCCCATCCCCTTCCGTGCTTCCCCCATCCCCTTCCGTGCTTCCCCCATCCCCTTCCGTGCTTCCCCCATCCCCTTCCGTGCTTCCCCCATCCCTTCCGTGCTTCCCCCATCCCCTTCCGTGCTTCCCCCATCCCCTTCCGTGCTTCCCCCATCCCCTTCCGTGCTTCCCCCATCCCCTTCCGTGCTTCCCCATCCCCTTCCGTGCTTCCCCCATCCCCTTCCGTGCTTCCCCCATCCCCTTCCGTGCTTCCCCCATCCCCTTCCGTGCTTCCCCCATCCCCTTCCGTGCTTCCCCCCATCCCCTTCCGTGCTTCCCCCATCCCCTTCCGTGCTTCCCCCATCCCCTTCCGTGCTTCCCCCATCCCCTTCCGTGCTTCCCCCCATCCCCTTCCGTGCTTCCCCCATCCCCTTCCGTGCTTCCCCCATCCCCTTCCGTGCTTCCCCATCCCCTTCCGTGCTTCCCCCATCCCCTTCCGTGCTTCCCCCATCCCCTCCGTGCTTCCCCCATCCCCTTCCGTGCTTCCCCCATCCCCTTCCGTGCTTCCCCCATCCCCTTCCGTGCTTCCCCCATCCCCTTCCGTGCTTCCCCCCCCCTCCCCTTCCGTGCTTCCCCATCCCCTTCCGTGCTTCCCCCATCCCCTTCCGTGCTTCCCCCATCCCCTTCCGTGCTTCCCCCATCCCCTTCCGTGCTTCCCCCATCCCCTTCCGTGCTTCCCCCATCCCCTTCCGTGCTTCCCCCCCCCTTCCGTGCTTCCCCCATCCCCTTCCGTGCTTCCCCCATCCCCTTCCGTGCTTCCCCCATCCCCTTCCGTGCTTCCCCCATCCCCTTCCGTGCTTCCCCCATCCCCTTCCGTGCTTCCCCCATCCCCTTCCGTGCTTCCCCCATCCCCTTCCGTGCTTCCCCCATCCCCTTCCGTGCTTCCCCCATCCCCTTCCGTGCTTCCCCCATCCCCTTCCGTGCTTCCCCCATCCCCTTCCGTGCTTCCCCCATCCCCTTCCGTGCTTCCCCCATCCCCTTCCGTGCTTCCCCCATCCCCTTCCGTGCTTCCCCATCCCCTTCCGTGCTTCCCCCATCCCCTTCCGTGCTTCCCCATCCCCTCCGTGCTTCCCCATCCCTTCCGTGCTTCCCCCATCCCCTTCCGTGCTTCCCCCATCCCCTTCCGTGCTTCCCCCATCCCCTTCCGTGCTTCCCCCATCCCCTTCCGTGCTTCCCCCATCCCCTTCCGTGCTTCCCCCATCCCCTTCCGTGCTTCCCCCATCCCCTTCCGTGCTTCCCCCATCCCCTTCCGTGCTTCCCCATCCCCTTCCCCCCCCGTGCTTCCCCCATCCCCTTCCGTGCTTCCCCCATCCCCTTCCGTGCTTCCCCCATCCCCTTCCGTGCTTCCCCCATCCCCTTCCGTGCTTCCCCCATCCCCTTCCGTGCTTCCCCCATCCCCTTCCGTGCTTCCCCCATCCCCTTCCGTGCTTCCCCCATCCCCTTCCGTGCTTCCCCCATCCCCTTCCGTGCTTCCCATCCCTTCCTCCGTGCTTCCCCCATCCCCTTCCGTGCTTCCCCCATCCCCTTCCGTGCTTCCCCATCCCCTTCCGTGCTTCCCCCATCCCCTTCCGTGCTTCCCCATCCCCTTCCGTGCTTCCCCCATCCCCTTCCGTGCTTCCCCCATCCCCTTCCGTGCTTCCCCATCCCCTTCCGTGCTTCCCCCATCCCCTTCCGTGCTTCCCCCATCCCTTCCGTGCTTCCCCCATCCCCTTCCGTGCTTCCCCCATCCCCTTCCGTGCTTCCCCCATCCCCTTCCGTGCTTCCCCCATCCCCTTCCGTGCTTCCCCCATCCCCTTCCGTGCTTCCCCATCCCCTTCCGTGCTTCCCCCATCCCTTCCGTGCTTCCCCCATCCCCTTCCGTGCTTCCCCCATCCCCTTCCGTGCTTCCCCCATCCCCTTCGTGCTTCCCCCCCATCCCCTTCCGTGCTTCCCCCATCCCCTTCCGTGCTTCCCCCATCCCCTTCCGTGCTTCCCCCATCCCCTTCCGTGCTTCCCCCATCCCCTTCCGTGCTTCCCCCATCCCCTTCCGTGCTTCCCCCATCCCCTTCCGTGCTTCCCCCATCCCCTTCCGTGCTTCCCCCATCCCCTTCCGTGCTTCCCCCATCCCTTCCGTGCTTCCCCCATCCCCTTCCGTGCTTCCCCCATCCCCTTCCGTGCTTCCCCCATCCCCTTCCGTGCTTCCCCCATCCCCTTCCGTGCTTCCCCATCCCCTTCCGTGCTTCCCCCATCCCCTTCCGTGCTTCCCCCATCCCCTTCCGTGCTTCCCCCATCCCCTTCCGTGCTTCCCCCATCCCCTTCCGTGCTTCCCCCATCCCCTTCCGTGCTTCCCCCATCCCCTTCCGTGCTTCCCCCATCCCTTCCGTGCTTCCCCCATCCCCTTCCGTGCTTCCCCATCCCCTTCCGTGCTTCCCCCATCCCTTCCGTGCTTCCCCCATCCCCTTCCGTGCTTCCCCCATCCCTTCCGTGCTTCCCCCATCCCCTTCCGTGCTTCCCCATCCCCTTCCGTGCTTCCCCCATCCCCTTCCGTGCTTCCCCCATCCCCTTCCGTGCTTCCCCCCATCCCCTTCCGTGCTTCCCCCATCCCCTTCCGTGCTTCCCCCATCCCCTTCCGTGCTTCCCCCATCCCCTTCCGTGCTTCCCCCATCCCCTTCCGTGCTTCCCCCATCCCTTCCGTGCTTCCCCCATCCCCTTCCGTGCTTCCCCATCCCCTTCCGTGCTTCCCCCATCCCCTTCCGTGCTTCCCCCATCCCCTTCCGTGCTTCCCCCATCCCCTTCCGTGCTTCCCCCATCCCCTTCCGTGCTTCCCCCATCCCCTTCCGTGCTTCCCCCATCCCCTTCCGTGCTTCCCCATCCCTTCCGTGCTTCCCCCATCCCCTTCCGTGCTTCCCCCATCCCCTTCCGTGCTTCCCCCATCCCCTTCCGTGCTTCCCCCATCCCCTTCCGTGCTTCCCCCATCCCCTTCCGTGCTTCCCCCATCCCCTTCCGTGCTTCCCCCATCCCCTTCCGTGCTTCCCCCATCCCCTTCCGTGCTTCCCCCATCCCCTTCCGTGCTTCCCCCATCCCCTTCCGTGCTTCCCCCATCCCCTTCCGTGCTTCCCCCATCCCCTTCCGTGCTTCCCCCATCCCCTTCCGTGCTTCCCCCATCCCCTTCCGTGCTTCCCCCATCCCCTTCCGTGCTTCCCCCATCCCCTTCCGTGCTTCCCCCATCCCCTTCCGTGCTTCCCCCATCCCCTTCCGTGCTTCCCCCATCCCCTTCCGTGCTTCCCCATCCCCTTCCGTGCTTCCCCCATCCCCTTCCGTGCTTCCCCCATCCCCTTCCGTGCTTCCCCATCCCCTTCCGTGCTTCCCCATCCCCTTCCGTGCTTCCCCCATCCCCTTCCGTGCTTCCCCCATCCCCTTCCGTGCTTCCCCCATCCCCTTCCGTGCTTCCCCATCCCTTCCGTGCTTCCCCCATCCCCTTCCGTGCTTCCCCCATCCCCTTCCGTGCTTCCCCCATCCCCTTCCGTGCTTCCCCCATCCCCTTCCGTGCTTCCCCCATCCCCTTCCGTGCTTCCCCCATCCCCTTCCGTGCTTCCCCCATCCCCTTCCGTGCTTCCCCCATCCCCTTCCGTGCTTCCCCCATCCCCTTCCGTGCTTCCCCCATCCCCTTCCGTGCTTCCCCCATCCCTTCCGTGCTTCCCCCATCCCCTTCCGTGCTTCCCCCATCCCCTTCCGTGCTTCCCCCATCCCCTTCCGTGCTTCCCCCATCCCCTTCCGTGCTTCCCCCATCCCCTTCCGTGCTTCCCCCATCCCCTTCCGTGCTTCCCCCATCCCCTTCCGTGCTTCCCCCATCCCCTTCCGTGCTTCCCCCATCCCCTTCCGTGCTTCCCCATCCCCTTCCGTGCTTCCCCCATCCCCTTCCGTGCTTCCCCCATCCCCTTCCGTGCTTCCCCCATCCTTCCGTGCTTCCCCCATCCCCTTCCGTGCTTCCCCATCCCCTTCCGTGCTTCCCCCATCCCCTTCCGTGCTTCCCCCATCCCCTTCCGTGCTTCCCCTCCCCTTCCGTGCTTCCCCCATCCCTTCCGTGCTTCCCCCATCCCCTTCGTGCTTCCCCCATCCCCTTCCGTGCTTCCCCCATCCCCTTCCGTGCTTCCCCCATCCCCTTCCGTGCTTCCCCCATCCCCTTCCGTGCTTCCCCCATCCCCTTCCGTGCTTCCCCATCCCCTTCCGTGCTTCCCCCATCCCCTTCCGTGCTTCCCCCATCCCCTTCCGTGCTTCCCCATCCCCTTCCGTGCTTCCCCCATCCCCTTCCGTGCTTCCCCCATCCCCTTCCGTGCTTCCCCCATCCCCTTCCGTGCTTCCCCCATCCCCTTCCGTGCTTCCCCCATCCCCTTCCGTGCTTCCCCCATCCCCTTCCGTGCTTCCCCCATCCCCTTCCGTGCTTCCCCCCATCCCCTTCCGTGCTTCCCCCATCCCCTTCCGTGCTTCCCCATCCCCTTCCGTGCTTCCCCCATCCCCTTCCGTGCTTCCCCCATCCCCTTCCGTGCTTCCCCATCCCCTTCCGTGCTTCCCCATCCCCTTCCGTGCTTCCCCCATCCCCTTCCGTGCTTCCCCCATCCCCTTCCGTGCTTCCCCATCCCCTTCCGTGCTTCCCCCATCCCCTTCCGTGCTTCCCCCATCCCCTTCCGTGCTTCCCCCATCCCCTTCCGTGCTTCCCCCATCCCCTTCCGTGCTTCCCCATCCCCTTCGTGCTTCCCCCATCCCCTTCCGTGCTTCCCCCATCCCCTTCCGTGCTTCCCCCATCCCCTTCCGTGCTTCCCCCATCCCCTTCCGTGCTTCCCCCATCCCCTTCCGTGCTTCCCCCATCCCCTTCCGTGCTTCCCCCATCCCCTTCCGTGCTTCCCCCATCCCTTCCGTGCTTCCCCCATCCCCTTCCGTGCTTCCCCCATCCCCTTCCGTGCTTCCCCCCATCCCCTTCCGTGCTTCCCCCATCCCCTTCCGTGCTTCCCCCATCCCCTTCCGTGCTTCCCCCATCCCCTTCCGTGCTTCCCCCATCCCCTTCCGTGCTTCCCCCATCCCCTTCCGTGCTTCCCCATCCCCTTCCGTGCTTCCCCCATCCCCTTCCGTGCTTCCCCCATCCCCTTCCGTGCTTCCCCCATCCCCTTCCGTGCTTCCCCCATCCCCTTTTTTTTTTTTTCCGTGCTTCCCCCATCCTTCCGTGCTTCCCCCATCCCCTTCGTGCTTCCCCATCCCCTTCCGTGCTTCCCCCATCCCCTTCCGTGCTTCCCCCATCCCCTTCCGTGCTTCCCCCATCCCCTTCCGTGCTTCCCCCATCCCCTTCCGTGCTTCCCCCATCCCCTTCCGTGCTTCCCCCATCCCCTTCCGTGCTTCCCCCATCCCCTTCCGTGCTTCCCCCATCCCCTTCCGTGCTTCCCCCATCCCCTTCCGTGCTTCCCCCATCCCCTTCCGTGCTTCCCCCATCCCTTCCGTGCTTCCCCCATCCCCTTCCGTGCTTCCCCCATCCCCTTCCGTGCTTCCCCCCCATCCCCTTCCGTGCTTCCCCCATCCCCTTCCGTGCTTCCCCCATCCCTTCCGTGCTTCCCCCATCCCCTTCCGTGCTTCCCCCATCCCCTTCCGTGCTTCCCCCATCCCCTTCCGTGCTTCCCCCATCCCCTTCCGTGCTTCCCCCCATCCCCTTCCGTGCTTCCCCCATCCCCTTCCGTGCTTCCCCATCCCCTTCCGTGCTTCCCCCATCCCCTTTCCGTGCTTCCCCCATCCCCTTCCGTGCTTCCCCCATCCCCTTCCGTGCTTCCCCCATCCCCTTCCGTGCTTCCCCCATCCCCTTCCGTGCTTCCCCCATCCCCTTCCGTGCTTCCCCCATCCCCTTCCGTGCTTCCCCCATCCCCTTCCGTGCTTCCCCCATCCCCTTCCGTGCTTCCCCCATCCCCTTCCGTGCTTCCCCCATCCCCTTCCGTGCTTCCCCCATCCCCTTCCGTGCTTCCCCCATCCCCTTCCGTGCTTCCCCCATCCCCTTCCGTGCTTCCCCCATCCCCTTCCGTGCTTCCCCCATCCCCTTCCGTGCTTCCCCCATCCCCTTCCGTGCTTCCCCATCCCCTTCCGTGCTTCCCCCATCCCCTTCCGTGCTTCCCCCATCCCCTTCCGTGCTTCCCCCATCCCCTTCCGTGCTTCCCCCATCCCCTTCCGTGCTTCCCCCATCCCCTTCCGTGCTTCCCCCATCCCCTTCCGTGCTTCCCCCATCCCCTTCCGTGCTTCCCCCATCCCTTCCGTGCTTCCCCCATCCCCTTCCGTGCTTCCCCCATCCCCTTCCGTGCTTCCCCATCCCCTTCCGTGCTTCCCCCATCCCCTTCCGTGCTTCCCCCATCCCCTTCCGTGCTTCCCCCATCCCCTTCCGTGCTTCCCCCATCCCCTTCCGTGCTTCCCCCATCCCCTTCCGTGCTTCCCCCATCCCCTTCCGTGCTTCCCCCATCCCCTTCCGTGCTTCCCCCATCCCCTTCCGTGCTTCCCCCCATCCCCTTCCGTGCTTCCCCCATCCCCTTCCGTGCTTCCCCCATCCCCTTCCGTGCTTCCCCCATCCCCTTCCGTGCTTCCCCCATCCCCTTCCGTGCTTCCCCCATCCCCTTCCGTGCTTCCCCCATCCCCTTCCGTGCTTCCCCCATCCCCTTCCGTGCTTCCCCCATCCCCTTCCGTGCTTCCCCCATCCCCTTCCGTGCTTCCCCCATCCCCTTCCGTGCTTCCCCCATCCCCTTCCGTGCTTCCCCCATCCCCTTCCGTGCTTCCCCCATCCCCTTCCGTGCTTCCCCCATCCCCTTCCGTGCTTCCCCCATCCCCTTCCGTGCTTCCCCCATCCCCTTCCGTGCTTCCCCCATCCCCTTCCGTGCTTCCCCCATCCCCTTCCGTGCTTCCCCCATCCCCTTCCGTGCTTCCCCCATCCCCTTCCGTGCTTCCCCCATCCCCTTCCGTGCTTCCCCCATCCCCTTCCGTGCTTCCCCCATCCCCTTCCGTGCTTCCCCCATCCCCTTCCGTGCTTCCCCCATCCCCTTCCGTGCTTCCCCCATCCCCTTCCGTGCTTCCCCCATCCCCTTCCGTGCTTCCCCCATCCCCTTCCGTGCTTCCCCCATCCCCTTCCGTGCTTCCCCATCCCCCTCCGTGCTCCCCCATCCCCTTCCGTGCTTCCCCATCCCCTTCCGTGCTTCCCCCATCCCCTTCCGTGCTTCCCCCATCCCCTTCCGTGCTTCCCCCATCCCCTTCCGTGCTTCCCCCATCCCCTTCCGTGCTTCCCCCATCCCCTTCCGTGCTTCCCCCATCCCCTTCCGTGCTTCCCCCATCCCCTTCCGTGCTTCCCCCATCCCCTTCCGTGCTTCCCCCATCCCCTTCCGTGCTTCCCCCATCCCCTTCCGTGCTTCCCCCATCCCCTTCCGTGCTTCCCCCATCCCCTTCCGTGCTTCCCCCATCCCCTTCCGTGCTTCCCCCATCCCTTCCGTGCTTCCCCCATCCCCTTCCGTGCTTCCCCCATCCCCTTCCGTGCTTCCCCATCCCCTTCCGTGCTTCCCCCATCCCCTTCCGTGCTTCCCCCATCCCCTTCCGTGCTTCCCCCATCCCCTTCCGTGCTTCCCCCATCCCCTTCCGTGCTTCCCCCATCCCCTTCCGTGCTTCCCCCATCCCCTTCCGTGCTTCCCCCATCCCCTTCCGTGCTTCCCCCATCCCCTTCCGTGCTTCCCCCATCCCCTTCCGTGCTTCCCCCATCCCCTTCCGTGCTTCCCCATCCCCTTCCGTGCTTCCCCCATTCCCCTTCCGTGCTTCCCCCATCCCCTTCCGTGCTTCCCCCATCCCCTTCCGTGCTTCCCCCATCCCCTTCCGTGCTTCCCCCATCCTTCCGTGCTTTCCCCATCCCCTTCCGTGCTTCCCCATCCCCTTCCGTGCTTCCCCCATCCCCTTCCGTGCTTCCCCCATCCCCTTCCGTGCTTCCCCCATCCCCTTCCGTGCTTCCCCCATCCCCTTCCGTGCTTCCCCCATCCCTTCCGTGCTTCCCCCATCCCCTTCCGTGCTTCCCCCATCCCTTCGTGCTTCCCCCATCCCCTTCCGGTTGCTTCCCCCATCCCCTTCCGTGCTTCCCCCATCCCCTTCCGTGCTTCCCCCATCCCCTTCCGTGCTTCCCCCATCCCCTTCCGTGCTTCCCCCATCCCCTTCCGTGCTTCCCCCATCCCCTTCCGTGCTTCCCCCATCCCCTTCCGTGCTTCCCCCTCCCCTTCCGTGCTTCCCCCATCCCCTTCCGTGCTTCCCCCATCCCCTTCCGTGCTTCCCCCATCCCCTTCCGTGCTTCCCCCATCCCCTTCCGTGCTTCCCCCATCCCCTTCCGTGCTTCCCCCATCCCCTTCCGTGCTTCCCCCATCCCCTTCCGTGCTTCCCCCATCCCCTTCCGTGCTTCCCCCATCCCCTTCCGTGCTTCCCCCATCCCCTTCCGTGCTTCCCCCATCCCCTTCCGTGCTTCCCCCATCCCCTTCCGTGCTTCCCCCATCCCCTTCCGTGCTTCCCCCATCCCTTCCGTGCTTCCCCCATCCCCTTCCGTGCTTCCCCCATCCCCTTCCGTGCTTCCCCCATCCCCTTCCGTGCTTCCCCCATCCCCTTCCGTGCTTCCCCCCCCCTTCCGTGCTTCCCCCATCCCCTTCCGTGCTTCCCCCATCCCCTTCCGTGCTTCCCCCATCCCCTTCCGTGCTTCCCCCATCCCCTTCCGTGCTTCCCCCATCCCCTTCCGTGCTTCCCCCATCCCCTTCCGTGCTTCCCCCATCCCCTTCCGTGCTTCCCCCATCCCCTTCCGTGCTTCCCCCATCCCCTTCCGTGCTTCCCCCATCCCCTTCCGTGCTTCCCCCATCCCCTTCCGTGCTTCCCCATCCCCTTCCGTGCTTCCCCCATCCCCTTCCGTGCTTCCCCCATCCCCTTCCGTGCTTCCCCCATCCCCTTCCGTGCTTCCCCCATCCCCTTCCGTGCTTCCCCCATCCCCTTCCGTGCTTCCCCCATCCCCTTCCGTGCTTCCCCCATCCCCTTCCGTGCTTCCCCCATCCCCTTCCGTGCTTCCCCCATCCCCTTCCGTGCTTCCCCCATCCCCTTCCGTGCTTCCCCCATCCCCTTCCGTGCTTCCCCATCCCCTTCCGTGCTTCCCCCATCCCCTTCCGTGCTTCCCCCATCCCCTTCCGTGCTTCCCCCATCCCCTTCCGTGCTTCCCCCATCCCCTTCCGTGCTTCCCCCATCCCCTTCCGTGCTTCCCCCCCCTTCCGTGCTTCCCCCCATCCCCTTCCGTGCTTCCCCCATCCCCTTCCGTGCTTCCCCCATCCCCTTCCGTGCTTCCCCATCCCCTTCCGTGCTTCCCCCATCCCCTTCCGTGCTTCCCCCATCCCCTTCCGTGCTTCCCCCATCCCCTTCCGTGCTTCCCCCATCCCCTTCCGTGCTTCCCCCATCCCCTTCCGTGCTTCCCCCATCCCCTTCCGTGCTTCCCCCCATCCCCTTCCGTGCTTCCCCCCATCCCCTTCCGTGCTTCCCCTCATATTTCCCATGCTCGACACCCTCGATCTCTGGGAAAATGCCCGTCGCAAGTGCGGGCGCTGCGCGTCGGCCAGCCTTTCTCATTCTGTTCTGCCCACCCTCTCCCGTTCTGTTCTGCCTCCATCTCTCATTCCTTTCGCACTTTCCCTCATTCCTTCCCACCCTCTCTCATTCCGTACCACCCTAACTCATTTCGTCCCACCCTCTCTCTTTCCTTCCCACCCTCTCATTCCTTCCCACCTTCTGACATTCCTTCCTACCCTCATGCTCCCATTCTTCTCTCTCCCTCCTCCCTCACTCTCTTTCTCTCCTTGCACCCGCACTCTCTCTCTCCTTCCTCCTGCACTCTCACTCTCCTTCCTCCTGCACTCTCACTCGTCCTTCCTCCTGAACTCTCACTCTCCATTACTCCTGCACTCTCTCCCTCCGTCCTCTTCGCACTCTCACTCTCCTTCCCACCACCCTCAGCCCTCCTTCCCCACCTCTCTGCCCTGTTCCCACCTGCCCTCCCCCATCCCTGCCTTTTCCTCTCTGCTCCGCCCTGTCCTTCCCCAGCCCTTCTCAACCTTCCCTTCCTTTTCATGCCCTGCCCTTCCCCTCCAGTCCTCGCCTTCCGTCCTCTAATTCCCATGCATGTCCGCTTGTGTGGATTCCCCTGCCGTTGTTCCCATGCACCTCACACCACCTCCCCATGTTCCTTCACACGAATCGTTCTGCCTACCCCACTCCCTATTTTTCAGTGGTGAAGCAGAGGAGCAAGCTGAGGGTGCATCTAGTCGAAGCTTTGCACCATACCACCACCTGTTTCTTGTGTGTCGTATGCATGCATGATACTGTATTTTTGTTGAAGAGATGGATCTCAAAGGCACATACTGTAATGTACTTTTGTTTCTGCAGTGCAAGACATTTTTCCAAGACGCATGTACACTAAAGTGTCAGAAGGGTACAGAAAGGCATGTGCACGATACTTTTGATTGTACCCTTTCCAAGTCCTCTAAAAAAACGAGGGGAACTGTATTCTCTACGAGAATGGCATGGGATGATGGGCCTCTGAGCGAGTTGCAGTACCAGAAAAATCATCAGTGTAGTCACTGCAATAGCCAGGGAGAGGGAGAGAATACGAGCGATGGGAAGGGAAAGCAGGGAAAGAGGGGGAAGAGGGAAGCAGGGGAGAAGGGAAAGGGGGAGACAGGACGATGTGAGAGGGAAAGGGGATAGGAAGAGGGACCCATGAAGTTTACGAACAGAGGAAACGAAGGACGGATGAATGGAGGAACAGAAGAAGGGAAGGCCGAATGAATGGAGGAACAGAAGAAGGGATTGCAGGGAGGAAGAAGTTTGATCCGGAAAACGAAAAAAGGGGGGAGGAGGGATAAGGAGAGGATCAATGGGGAAAGGATGGATGGGAAGAGGAGCGGATGGGTATTGAGAGGGATGGATCGCGGAGGAGAGGGGAAGAAGCAGGGAGGAGAGGGGAAGAAGCAGGGAGGAGAGGGGAAGAAGCAGGGAGGAGAGGGGACGGGGTGGAGGTGACGGGGAGGTCGCGGGATGGGGTATGACCGTATGGTGGAATGGTGAAAGTCGGCAGAGGGAATGATGGGAGAGGGAAGGAGGGATGGGGGAAACGACGAAATGGGGATGGGAAGTTAGATGGCATGGCGAAAAGGGGTGGGGCGGAATGGGGTGGGGCGGAATGGGGAGATGAGGGATGTGGAGATGAAGGATGGGGGAGATGAGGGAATGGGAGATGAGGGAAGGGGAGATGAGGGAAGGGGAGATGAGGGATGGGGAGATGAGGGATGGGGAGATGAGGATGGGGAGATGAGGTGAGGAGGAAATGGTGTGAGGAGGAAATGGGGTGAGGAGGAAATGGGGTGAGGAGGAGACGGGGTGAGGAGGAGATGGGGTGAGGAGGAAATGGGGTGAGGAGGAGATGGGGTGAGGAGTAGATGGGGTGAGGAGGAGATGGGGTGAGGAGGAGATGGGGTGAGGAGGAGATGGGTGAGGAGGGAGATGGGGTGAGGAGGAGATGGGGTGAGGAGGAGACGTCGCGGCGCCTCCGACTCAGCTCGACGCTGAGCCCGTGACAGCGGTGTTTGCGGCAGGTAGCAATGCCCCACGCCTCTGCCCCGCGTCAACCCCGTCCTGGGTGGCGTGGGATGGGGTGGTGTTGACGGGGGAGAGGCGGGGATGGTGACACGGAGAGGGGGACACAGTGCGGGTTTCCGCATCGTTTACAGCAGCACGCAGGGATGGGGAGGTGAGGGATGGCGCTGCACATTGGAAAATGCTCCTCTCTGCCTTGTCATACGCTGCATGCGCTGGATGGGGAGGAAGAGGAGTTGGGGTGAGAATACGAAAAGGGCGGACGTGCGGAGAATGGGGTGGGGAGGTAAAATGGGGTGGGGGCGGAAACGGGGTGGGGCGGAACGGGGGTGGGGCGGAACGGGGTGGGGCGGAACGGGGTGGGGCGGAAACGGGGTGGGGGTGAATGGGGTGGGGGCGGAATGGGGTGAGGCGGAATTCGGCAGGAGGAAGAGAGCGTGGGCGGCGGAAGGAGAGTTGTCGCGCGCGACGAGAGAAAGTGCGTGCGGACGGAGCTGGGGCGAAGCGGAGATGGTAGAGGCGGGATGGGGAGGCGGAGATGGGTGAAGGGCGGAGATGGGTGAGGCGGAGATGGGTGAGGCGGAGATGGGTGAGGCGGAGATGGGTGAGGCGGAGATGGGTGAGGCGGAGATGGGTGAGGCGGAGATGGGTGAGGCGGAGATGGGTGAGGCGGAGATGGGTGAGGCGGAGATGGGTGAGGCGGAGATGGGTGAGGCGGAGATGGGTGAGGCGGAGATGGGTGAGGCGGAGATGGGTTGAGGCGGAGATGGTGAAGCGGAGATGGGTGAGGCGGAGATGGGTGAGGCGGGAGATGGGTGAGGCGGAGATGGGTGAGGCGGAGATGGGTGAGGCGGAGATGGGTGAGGCGGAGATGGGTGAGGCGGAGATGGGTGAGGCGGAGATGGGTGAGCGGAGATGGGTGAGGCGGAGATGGGTGAGGCGGAGATGGGTGAGGCGGAGATGGTTGAGGCGGAGATGGGTGAGGCGGAGATGGGTGAGGTAGTGTGCGACGGGAGGGAATAGGCCGTGTGCGACGAGCGGGGGGTCGCGTAGGATTGCGCCATAGACGATGGAATGGGAGTGAGCGTAGGCGAAGGGATGGAGTGACCGTGGGCGACGGAAGTGACCGATCGTGGGCGACGGAAGTGACTGATCGTGGGCGACGGTACGATTGAGCGATAGCGATGGGGAGGGAGTGAGCGTGGGCAACGGGAAGGGAGGGAGCGTGGGCGGCGGGAAGGGAGGGAGCGTGGGCGACGGGAAGCGTGGGCGACGGGAAGGGAGGGAGCGTGGGCGACGGGAGGGAGTGAGAGTGGGCGACGGGAGGGAGTGAGCGTGGGCGACGGGAGGGAGTGAGCGTGGGCGACGGAGGGGTGTGCGCGTATACGATGGAAGGGGAAGTGAGCGTGGGCGACGGAAGGGAGTGAGCGCGCTTGTTCTAGGGGACTCCGCGTGGGCGACGGGAGGGACTAAGCGTTTGCGACGGAAGGGGAGTGAGTGCGGACGATGCAGTTTGGCCGCGATGCCGCTTTGTAAATTGAACAGAACTCAGCGACGCAGAGGGCGGTGACCCTAAGCTACGGGGTGAGCATGGCCCGCGACGCGACCCCTAAGTTCGACTCAGGCTTGTGTGGAAAGCTAGGGCGACGGGTCGTAACTCCGGGAGGAATAGAGGATGCGAAGAATGGTGGAAGCAAATTTCGCGGAAAAAGCGATCACAGGTGGAGACATGTGAGGTGTGTAGCTTCTAAGCTATGGGCGTCAGGCCAATGCAACGCTCAGCGATCCCATTTTGCTGCGGAGAGGCCGGAAGCGTGAACGACTGGGCGATGCCCTCATCCTGCAGAACGTCTCAAGGACGCCAGAGGAGAACTCACCAACCCCTGTCAGAGTGCAGACGCAGGACTGGAAAGTCCCGCCGAAACCGCTCGCGCAGCTGGTGACGAGTAGCACGGATCTAGGGGACCAAGACACCACTGACATCCGCCTTGCGTCGCAAGGGGAAAGACTGTGGTGTAGCGTGTGTAGTCGTCAACCACCAGCAGGAAGTAGCGCTCCTGGTTCGTTCCACCGACGGGGGCCGGGCCCCACACGTCCATGTGAAGAGTCTGCAGAGGAGCAGTTGTCGGAGGAAACTCGGAGGAGTGAGGAGCGGCGCGCTGCCGCCCCTCGACGCAAGGAAGGCACGGCGGCGCAAGTGAGCGCGGGAGGGGGGGGCAGGGTCTCAGGGAGGCCAGTGACCAGGAGCCGGGAGTGCATGCGGCGCAGACGCTGCAGGGAGGGGGCGTCACTACCAGTCCGCTAGGAACTATGCAAAGTTTGTCGACCTGAATTACAACTTTCAGAAAGGTGTGCACACTCGGGGGCAAAAGTCCCCCAGGTTGGGTTGCCCAGACCCGAGCGATCCAAACCTGTGCTGCCTACGACCTCAGTACGTTGTGCGAGTGACACATGGTAACCAGAGAGGTTTGGGTCTGGTAAGTGTTGCCCCTCCCATGGTCGGGAAGAAAGCAAACCTGAGGTTCGGCTCCAGAAACTGGGTCCGCAGAATCTTCCCCGATAAGCGCGCTTCTGCCTATCAAGGTTTGGTGATAAGCGCGGTCCTGCCAAACCTTTTTGCGCCAAATTTTACGCTTCAGCCTGGAGAACGCCACTTTTGGGGCACACAAATTTAACGGGGTGAAGGTTCCACGGTGTTGCATCTCCAGGCAAATGTCCGCATAACTTGTGCGCTGCCAATTCGGCCTCGAGAGCTAGCATCAGCCAGCGCACAAGTTATGCAGGGCAGCAATTTGTGAGATTCGAGAGTTTGAGCGAGCTTCGTGGCAACACACCCCAGCAAATTGAGAGATTAGGGCCCAGTTCGGCTGGCGTTAAGGGCGTTTGAGCATTTTTAACCGGCCTCGAAAAAACGCCGGCTCGAAAGATCCTCGAAGTCAGGCCCCGCTTGCAGTGCACCTTCGAAAAAACGGGCAGCCCTGTTCGGCTGGCATTATGGGGGTTAAACGTGATGGCGCGGAAGGGGTATGAAATTCGAGGAAGTCAGGTTGAAGGTGAATAGCACCTTCGAACAATCATATGATTGGCCAGTCCATTCGACCACTCGCATATGATTGGCCGCATCACTGATCCCTCGCATGGTGTAAGCTCTCGGCCATGCACCATGCAGCGGATCAGTGGTGCGCCACTTTGCTAGGGGAAACGGTTTCCTGGAACCATCGTATTGCTAAAAACGCAGGCGTTAAAAGGGCTGTTCGGCAGGCATTTTAACGCGCTCAGGCTCGACATCAATCCGCCTATCTCGAACCTTGATAACCGATCGCTCGCTTATCGTTTCACTGTAGCCGGTCCCCGAGCCTGATATTAACGCCTTTTTTAACGCCTGCCGAACTGGGCCTAGACGTTTTGGTGCGGCCAGAAGCTACAAGGAAGGACACGTTCCGTACATTTAATGCGGAGGCAATAACGCCTACAGAACAGCGCCATCTGCTACCCAGTGCCCTCGTGATTGGTTCGCACATGGCATGCATGCTAGGCGAATTCAGGGTGTACGCTCGCTATGGGACAGCTCCGATGTAGGACACCCATCTATCTCCTCAACATCTATTTATTGAACGCGAGATAATGAAGTAATACGGTATGTGACCACAAATGTACAGACATAAGGATTTTCCAGAAATTACTACAGATTTTTTTATACTTTCTACATATAGTTAATGTTAGATTTAATATATCATGCTATATCATTACTCCATGTATCGTCTGATTTTCTAGTATAGAATATGTGGCTGGTCTTGTTTTACTGTAAACAGGTGAGTAATGATAGGACTCTCGGTCGCCAGGGGTGACTGTGCTGCCCTTTCGCCATTATAACAGGTGTCGACGAATTTTGAGTGGTCCTTTGCACGTCGGCCGAACATCACACCGCTCGTACCGAATGCTTAGGTTTCTATTGGCTGGCCTATTCGCGCTGTGACAATGACGAATAGAGTCGTAGTCAGGGCGCAGGTGAAGAGCCAGCCAGGTTTGCCAACACAACACCGAAATCGCGTACAGTTCGCATGGTCGCAAGTTGCAAGTGCGACCGTCCCCGCTTCCTCTCTACGACTCCGTGCGATTTTGCTCGCGTCGTTCACCCTGGCTTCCGCGACAAGTTCACAGGTGATCACTGTACATACACAGTGAGCAAATCGCAGCAGTCGCCTGCAGCGCTGGTATCCAAATCGCCCCTCCCCTACCGCGTACCGCCCGCCAGCAGTACCCTTCGTTTGGTCCTACCTGCGAGAAACCGAAACCACATTGACTCGACGCGCTGTCGCCAGCCAATCACACGGCAAATCCCCCTCTTCCTGAAACCCAACTCTCGTCGCCCAGCCAGCCCCACGCCCACCAGCTTCTTCCCTCTCGCTTAGCCCTCACACTCACCTCGTTGCACCGGTCAGCAAACCTCTCTTTGCAAACATACCGTCCACGCTTTCCTCACCCTATCTTAGTTTCCTTTCCTCTCACACCACTGTGCTCCTGAATGTGTTGGGCTGACGGTTGCTTTCCTTTCAGGCCTTGTCATCCGTGGTGCACCTGGCTCCAATGTCTACTGTCTCCCCCATTCATAGAATCAAGTTTCCTTGCGCAGGTGCATCGTGCAATCCTAGTCTAGCTCTGTCCCTCTCCGTTGTCGTAACGTCCGACGGAGCAGCATGGTTTGGTAGTGGATAGAATACGCTTCAAGCTCTTGCGTTTCCTACAAGTTCTGAGTGTGCACCACCGTCGTGACGCCATAGGACCGTAGCGTAGATTACAAGCGCGTGCGAGGCGCGCAAATAGTACCCAGCTTGGCGTCGCGGACGCACACGACGCGCTGCAATGCTGATTATAGACAACCAGCCAGTTCCGCGCAATCTCGCGGTACGTGAACCCTGCGGGAGCGCGTCTAAGTCACTAAGATGGCATCGGCACCTGAACCTTCTTCCGCTCTTTTCTTGTATTTGGCTCGTGTGCCGCTCTAGTCCCACTTTTGTCGGTCGCTGCGCGCGCGTCGCGCTCCACTGCACGCAGCTCAAGCCGTTCATTCCGTCTTGCTCGCTGCAGTGAGCCTCAAACACTCGCCGCGGCTCCGTCAGTGCGCCCGTATCCGTCGTCTCCTCCCGCCTTCAACCCCATTCAATCTCCCACCCTCCCCGTACCCTCTCTTTTCCCGCCCTACCCTCCCCCCCCCCCCGCCCCCACTCCCCCCAACCCCGCCCTCCGCCGTTCGCGCGAATCCCGCACCACGCAGGGCGCGGCGCTGCTCCGTTACCTACTCACGCACCCGAGCCTCGTCGCCGGCTCGGAGGAGTTCTTTCGCCGAACCAGCCGATCAGGCTCGGAAGCCGGTCCTGACCCTGGTCCATGCCGACCGAAGCACGAGGAAAGAGATGAAAACGAGCGGCCGGCATGCGGCAGCGACGATCGTTTGTCCGACAGTCATGCTGCCGGCCAGCTGGCAACGCAATCAACTGGCAGCCCCCCACCGGCAACTATTCCCTCCGCCGCGACTCCTTCCGCGCATCTTGGCGCAAACCCCGGGGAATCACGCTCTTCCAGCCTGGCTGCCGCGCGCGCAGAGGAATCCAACGCGTGTTCGTTGAGATGCGCGGAGGCGCAAGGAGGCGCGGAAGAGGGGGGGATGGGGGAGCTGCGAAACGCGACTGACTGTGACGGCGGTATCAGCGCCGCGTGTGGCGGCGGCATTAGCGGCGCCGATGCTGGTAGCGGGGTTTCGATGTGCCGAGGGCGGGAGGGCGGAGGGGGCGAGTGGATGCGCCGGCAGCAGGACATGCTGGGCGGCGTGGGGAGCCGCTCTCTCGGAGCGCCACGTGGCGAGGAATCTGCTGCTGACACGTGTGATGCTGGCAGTGGTGCGCTGCCCCGCGCGATATGGCGCAGTTTGAGTGCGAGTGTGCTTAAAGCGCGTGATGCTGCAGCGGGGATAGCTGGTGGATATGCTGTTGGTAGCGGGGCTGCTGGTAGCGGGGCTGCTGGTAGCACTGCTGACGGCTGTGATGGAGCAGGTGCGGCAGGCGCA